TGTGTTAATAGGAGCTATACATTCTTCAGGAAGAGAACATGACTGGACTTGACAGATTAGAGTTGAAAAATCGCTTACTTGTGAATATTCAAGTAAGCCGGAGGAAGAAAAACGGGGAAAGGAAGAGCTACATCCATGCTTTTCCTGATTAATCTAGAGCTCTGAGAAACGTGTAGGCTGCGAATCAGTCAAGTAGGTTTACCTCTTAAAACTTCTGGCTTATTGTTTTGTGGAAGAAAAGGATTTTAGAAGTGCAGAGTCACTGAAGATAAAGATACGTACTGCGGAACCCGTGATTTTTCTGCAGGTATTCTGTATGCAGAGGGGAGCTACAATATGCATGTTAGTGCGGGCAGAAATTCTTTCTAGCAATCAAACATTTATGACTTAATCCAGAAGGAATATTTGAGTTAAATCAACACAAGCTAAAGCACTTATTAGTAAGGAAAAAAAAAAAGGAAAAAAACCCACCTCAAGTTTTTTTTATTCATCTAAACTATCAGTGCTTGTTTTTACATACACTGTATTTCCCATGTACCAGCACATCTGATCAGAGACCCTCGCTGCTGCTAGATGTTTTATTCTGTGTGTTCTTTGTACCTTACAGTAAAAGAATCTGTCACAAATTATTGTGCCTCACTGCTTTAGAAACTGAGAAAAAAGGGAGGTTAGATTGACATCTGTGACTGAATAATGATGACCAGCCTTTTGGCTCCCCTTGAGCCACAAAGCTAGCATTGCCTTTAGAGAGGAAAAAGGAGTAAGAAGAAAGGGGAGGGATAAAAGAGAGTTACAAATCTGTGGTCCCGGAGATGTATTACTGTTGGGCCAGTTGTCTGCGTGGTATGATAATCCATTTTGATCTTCTGTCTTAATTGTCTGCTAAAGACAAATGGGCAGTAAAAGTTCATCAGTTTCATCTTTTGCTTCTCATTTAGAGACAGAATAAATGATCCATCGCTACAGAAGAAACCTTTCTTTCTGACACGGAAGTAATGCAGACCCAACACGTTTTATTAAAATATTTCTCCCTCATTATTTCAGTCCTCTCAGCTCTGATAGATCTTACTGTTTCATGAAAAATGTAATCTGAAATGTAAATAAGGGGTTTGATACAAAGTAAGGAAGTAACGAGCAGGCTAGCCACATTGCAGGAATTTTGATTGTAATTACTGACAAAGTGAATTCTGCGTGTCCTGATTTTTTTCCCTCAAGTTGTCTTTGACACGTTCAGACCACAATGACATCTACGGTTTAAATCTGCTAAATAACTGTGTAACGGAATATTTTATAGACAGTGTCGTAGACAAGGTATCCTAGGAGCCTGGCTAAGGAAAGCAAATGCTAATGATTGCTCCAGGCCACGTGAAATGGTTAAAACTAGGGGGCTTTTTTTGAATGGCAGGAGGGGGGCTGAAGTCATCTTGAGATACCTTTTTAAATATAACAGCGTATTAACTTGTTAGGGTGTTTTATAATAGCTTTTAAGAATAAAATGTGTATTTATGTTTATGTGGTTGTACCTAACATGAAATACAGTAATTGTTGCCATTATGAGCAACAGCTTTTCAGTGCTAGCTTTTTAGCAATGGTCTTAGAATTTAAAACAGATGGGAACTCTCAGTTATTCTATGTAAAATACAGTCACTAGAGGTGGAAGTATCAAAAAAAAAAAAAGTAGTCATCAGTCTAGCAGAAAAATACTTAACGTGTTCCTTCATTTTCTGGTTTGGGTTCCATCAAGCTATAGTAATGAAGATAATTTTTTTCTAGGTGCAACCCTGTGCTATTGGAATATTATAAATACCAAACAATGGCCAGGGCACCTTACCTTATCACCATATGAATTTTGGCTGGCCGCTCTTTTGAAGATTGATCGCAAGATTGATAGCTGTCCTGGGCTAACTGATTTTAATCCGAGGAAGTTTGTTGCAAAGACCTGAACTTGTATCAGGAAGAATGTTTCAGCAAATAGTTGCTGTATAAATACATAAAAATAGAAATTAGTTGAGCAATCGATGGAAGGTGTAGCAGGAATTGGACTATTTTGTAAAATGCGGTGTGTTTTTAAAATGGCTTTTTTGGGTAGTGCATCATTCGGTTCCTTACAGCTTTAATGTTTATAGCTCATCTGGAAGGGAAAGGGAAAATGATGTGGTGATAGTTCCCATTTGTGAGCTGCTTCAAGTGGGTATGATGACTTGTCTGTAATTTGATGAACTATTGTGTGTATCAGTTAATTACTACAAGAATGACTGAGGTATGCATGCTTGCAAGCTGGTACTTACGCAGATTGCTACTTCTATTCTGCTGGTAATTTTTCTTTCCACTGGCATTGAAACAAGGTTTATAATGAAACCAACAATTTTTACACATTTATAGAAACTATAAAACTTTTATGGGAATCTTTATATAGAAACTAATGGTCTTTCTTGTACAAAGTCTATGAGCATTGAGAAGCGTTGCACACAGGGGAAAATAAAAAGCAACCTTTCTTTGTGTCATTGTAAGGGTTGTGTGATTGGAGAGTATTTACACAGTGCTGGCCATAAATGGAGCAAAAACCCCCTTATCTTTTAAAATTTGTCTGCACTGAGTGGACTTAGTTGCTTGAATGGGGATGATCATAATCCAATTTGATACTTCTGAATTGCACATAGTATTCTTAGTATGAAGTTTTTGCCTCACCGTTTGCATACACTGCATGGTAAAACCTGTCTTAAGCGTAATTTAAAATAATAGCTATCCTTTCAGAAATAGATGGAGAAGTGAGATTGGGAAGGTTGAGTAATTAGTCATTTAGAAAATCTAGAAAAGTGGTTATAGTGTTCTGAAAGCCACTTTGTAGTAAAACCGAGGCAGAGTAAATAGTAAATATATGAAGTATTTGATACTCACTTCTGAAGCATTTGATACTCTCAGCTTGTATAGAGCTATCCTACTGCATTCATACAGGGAGTCTTTTTAAGTGAAAGCCTAATAAAAGTTCATGTAGGACAGTTATAAACATTCTCCTTGTACAGTGACCCCTCTTGAGTAGGTAGCGATAAAACAGCAGCATGAATGGGGGCCTTTGTGTGGGGCAGGCAGGCCGTCTGGACTGCGTGGGGAGGTCACTTGGACCTCATGAGCAGAGAGTACAGCTGCTGTCTCACTGAATCATTCTGGAGACGACTTACCCTCTGTGGACAAAGCTGGGTTCTTTGGTTCGAGTCCTGACAGGTAGTGGCCGGGACTAAACCCTGGGCTTTGACTATAGGACTATTTTCTCAATTCAGAGTATTTTTCTAGGCC